CTAACCTTGAACAAACTCTCACCTTTACATGTATCTATATCAACTGCACAGGCCTATGACATAATCATCATAATGCTATATAATTCCACCAATAGGAGGGTGTTACAGCCTCCATGGACAATATTCCCTGTGGGTATTAGCATATGATCAAAGGCTTATATTTTCCTTAACACTGCCATGTTCAAACTTGCTTTCTCCAGTGCTTTTTGAGTTTCCAGTTACTTTGATCAACTGACTTTCTTTATTTAGCTCTAAATTCCTTTGTCCTTTTTGCATTTTTATTCCATCCATCTGTTTACAACTTAATTTTCTGTAGCCATCCTATTTGTACTTTGTGCTCCTTATCACAATGAATACATAAGAAAAAAAAAAGTCTCAATGCCCAGACGTACCTCGTCATGCATTCCATTTCTTTCAGCTGTTTTCTCCCTTTTACTTTTTATCATCATCATCATTCAGATACATATGCTTTTGCAGCTTTTTGTTCTGTATATTATAAGGCCTAATTAATTTCTTCACGGATCCCTCCTTTTTCCAAAGATATTACCTACCTGGTAATCAGTTGTTTTTCCCCCATCTCTTTCCTCCTTATGTAATTCTTTTATTTCTGATTCCCTGTTATGTACAGCTGTCTGTTGCTATCTTGCTCAGATTGCTTCTTCTCGTGGATTCTGTGATTGCCAGTTCTATCTGTGGCTTACCTCTTTCTCTAGACTTATCCTCTTCCACTTTCACCTCAGAGGAATAACAAAACATTTTGTGACAACATGGGACCTATTGGTCCATCTCGGCTGTTCCATCCTCTAAACTAAATTAAAATAATTTTTAAAAAACCTTAAAGCCAGCCCTTACCATTTATATACTTATCAAGCTTTTTCTTAAAACTTCACTTAAATTTACTGTCTCTACAACATATGAAGGCAACCCATTTCATTGGCTAATAACCCTGTTAGAAAGGTGAAACTGTCTTAGCTGAAGATGACTCCTACCCTGTCAAAATTTATATTTGTCCTCTAGTCGTACTATTCTCACTATTAAATATAAAAAAAAAGATGATGCATCAACACTATCGATTCCATTTACAATCTTAAACACCTCAATCAGACCCCCCCCCCTAACTCTTTTTTTTTCAAGAGAAAACAATTTGAGAGATTTCAGCCTCTCCTTGTATGACAACCCCTCCATCCCAGGCACCATTCCAGTAAACATTCTTTGAATCTTTTCCAACAATTCAATGTCTTTCCTAAGTTAAGGAGCCCAAGACTGAAGATTGAACAAATGTGGTCCTAACTAATGACCTGTACAATGAAATTATAACCTCTTT